TCAACCACGATCGTATCTCTGTAAGCCGGTAGTTTTATCTAATTATTTTCGTTAGTCGCGTGCTGCTTTCACCGAGATATGGATAAAAAAAAAAAGAGAAGTACGACAACAAAAAGCACGTCTACGTAACCACGACGAAATTTTTCCATTAACCGGCTCATATTATCGTCACGTAATTACCCGTGAGGATTGTTATTCGTCGGAAGCTACCTATCGGTGATCAATCAGGAATTTCAAGCGGTGAATGAACAGAAAGAGAGAAAGAGATAGAGAAAAAATTGCGAGAGAGAGAGAGAGAGAGGAAGTAGATGGAACGTGAATCCGTTCGGGCGAAATTACGCTGAATGTTTCGTCGCATAATGCTCGTCGTTATACGTCGCTGCTTTTATATCGCGCGCGCTTAAAAATCAAGCCGCTTGTTTACGACTTCTGTTACTCCTCCGATGTCATTGGAAAATCATTTCTGGCGAGTAAAAAACCAACGGGGGAACGTTTATCGAGGAAAATATCGCGGAAAAGGTAGCAATGGCGGACGAGGCGAGATGCTCGTGGGCGTTGCTCCACTATTATACCTTGGATGGGCTAGAATTAGGTCAACAAGGTGTCGGTACGTGCAACGAACTGGGTCACACACCCGTTTAACGCTTCTTCACACATGGCGATTCGATCGAGCGAGCCCGTCTTTCTCGAAAATAACGAGACACACCGACGGGGAAGGGAATCTCACTTTTTTTTTTTTTTCGCACGAAGAAAAGGAGCAGAGCGTCGGAATTTGCTCGAACGACTATCTTATCACGAATGTTCCCTCCGATACGCGGCCGCCCGCCGAGAAAACATAAACAGAAATTCGTTCAGCACGCGCAAATAAACGGAGATTGCGAATTGGGACACAGATCGACTCCTATCTACTCAACTCTTGTTTGTCACTTTTTCGTTAACCCTTTAATTATGGTAGGCGTGTATACACAAGTCGTAAATTTTCGGGAGACTTTTATCTGCTGAAAATTCATTCCGCGGGAACTAACAAGTTTACTAAGGATTTACAATGCTCCGCTAGGTTTGAGTAATAGTTAAAAAAAATCTATTCGAAATTTATTCGAAGCAAGTCGCACAGCCGAAAGGTTACACCTCCGCTCGATAGGTAACAGAAGAATTTTCTAAACGCGGACGATGCGACAAGGAAAACATCGAGCAGCTACCAGCATCAGGACCTCGAGAAACGTCTCAACCAAGTCGACCTTGCACTTGACGAAACTATCCACGTGGCTATATCCGCGCGATGACGACATCGATGATGTCGGCACGGCCACGAGCGGGCGAGCAGTCAGGCAAAGACTTTCGTTTTCGTTTTCTTTGGAGGTGCACGTCGCCACGAGTCCTTGACTGTGCCAGCTCCGATAATGCTACTCGCGTAGTAAACGCGCTGCCTCTTATCGCGTTCCTGCATTCGCGGTTATCGTTCTACGCTCGTGCGATGTGACTCACTTTCGAGAGCTTCGCCATCGTGACTTTCGTCCCATCCTCTGCGCCGTTCTCGCTCTGTAATATTCGATATTTCCATCCAACGCGTGCGAGCGATGCCAACAGAGCTCGGCGAACATATAAAACACGCCGCTGGCGAATCTCGAACGTAGCGGCGCGCTATAGAACCGTCGCGACCTTGCATATTAGAGTTCCGAGAACGAATCGGTGCATCATCGGCGAATCAATCGTGCGACCATCACGCCCGTTCGTCGACTCTCTCCGAGAACTTGTTTTTCGACGTGTTTTTCGGACACCGCTCAATGAATCACGCGGCTCGTTCGCGACTTTTCCTGGTTTCGTTAGAGCTAATAACGCCTTGGATCGAGATCAACGGCGGATTCATCCGATACGGCGTATTAATTCGAAGCTGATTCGGCTCACGGTTAAACGGTCGCGAGAGGCGCACAGTGGTTGAAGTTTGCTCGCGATGACGATAATTGTTTGTCAGATTACGCGTGCTATTAGTGAATGGTGTATTATTGAACCTGACTGCGAATAGATTTCGATGTTAGAGAGAAGGGGAATGTTATCGATTATCCGTGACTCTACCAGTTCCTAATTTCATCTCGAGGAATCTTTAATAAGAAACGTTTAATCGATAATGAACGTGTCTTTTCATTCGCGCCGGTATTTTTAGCCGGTCTATTGAGGAAACTCTCGGTATTCAGATTTTCCCGTGTTCAACACCGGTGTTATTCGTATTGAACAACGTCGACACGAAATATAACTAAATTGGTAAAGGATCTCGTGCACCGTGTACCAAACAAAATAACAACATTCCGCGATAATACGTTGCGTACACATTGCTAATTTACATGAGAATCAGATTGAACTCGATTATTATTGGACAACACACACACCTCTCCCTCTCTCCTCTCTCTTCCGCCTAGATGTTCGTTGTGCAAAAAGAGAGAGAGAGAGAGAGAGAAACGGAACATTTAAGGCCGGGCAGAGCGGCGAAAGAAGTCGTCGACGAATGGAACAATCTGGAACGTGCGCTAGGCAATTATTTCCCAGGCAATTACGATACCACCGTTTATCTGCTATTTGCTCCAACACGATGGCACACCTGGGGGATTATTAGAGGAGGTATCATCCGTGGACGCTTCGCGGGGGAAATTAGATCGCGTACGGCGACTGTGTAACCGGAACGTGGGTCACACTCTAATGGCGAAGCGTTTAAAATGGGCGACGATCGCAATTTATTTGCATAGCACGTGGCCCGTCGTGGGCGACGACCAGGAAGCGTTTGCACGAGATCTCGAAGCATCGTCGACGATCCTTTCCCTCTCTCTCTCTCTCTCTCTCCTTTCTCTCTGATTCGGGGCACACCCGTGTTACGCTTCAGAGTGGTATACAGTGCGTTTCTAAATTGCAATAAACTAATTGATGAAATTAACGAGTTATTCGAACTTAAGTTATTATATACAAGATGGGTTATAAGTGGCTCGATGAAGATGCTATTCTATTTCTTTATCGTAAACAGAAAGCTCTGTGGAAACGTGTCGTTTATTAACTTACACTAGTCCACTGGTTCTCCTCCATCTTTGTAACACAGAAGCATTAAGCGTGTCGTAAATATTCCGGACGAACAGGTTTTCGAATTCAGATTTAATACCGTCTTTTAAACGTTTCTGATGCTGAATTTTCAATAAACTCTTGTCAATGAAGAGGCGAATTAGTGCTAAGCGACTTATCGCCCACCTAGAATTATGTTAATAGTCCTGTGTTTATATATGTCCAGGCGTATATTTAACCTGTTAACTCTGTTGACCTTTCAAACTGAAATTGAATCTCTCTGGACAGTAATTAAAAGTGAGTAAGAATTATGACCAATTACTTTCTTTTCCTTCCTGCGTATTTCACGTTCGATACAATTAAAAACGGAGTATCGTGGAAGTACCTAATACTTGTCGCTGCTTGCTCACTCGTCCATAAAAATGCATTTATTTCGTTCTTTCGTTTAAATAAAGATAAGCAAGAACTTTGAATAATTCCAAGGTTAAAAATTGACGATCCCTTGACATTATCATTGAAAATTCGGACCGTTGAAAATATCAGCCATTTCGCAATATGCATAAGCACCCACTGATAGAGCTACCAATTCCAAAAGCAATGCTCCATTTCCCCTACAAAATCCCACTCGGCATCTACTTCTAACTCAGAAACACCGAATGTACGACGAAGCTAGGCGGTCGGTCGCCATGTTGGCTACGAAGTCGCCCGGAAGAAAGAGGCAGCCTAACTTCCGGTCGGTACGGAGCAGCGCCTTTCGAGCGTTCCGCGTAAATCACGGTGAAATCGAACCACCGAGCACGGGGGAACAAGATTCGAGAGTAAATTTCGATCGAGGTAAGGAAAATGGGTGGCCTTCGCGATGACCGTAGGCCAACGACACCGGAATAATGCGACGCGCAAATATTCGTGCCGCCTGAATATTTAACAGAGCCGACGACGTGCGAGTTCTCTCTCCATGGCCAGAACGCCGGTGTTTACGTTGACGAGCGGAACGCTTATGGTACACCCGTTCGCCTCTCTCTCCTCCCCTTCTCTCTACGCTATCGTCAAAGTAAAATACTCGATGGCAATTAATTATGCAAGCATCGTACACGACCGAGCCCGTTCGTCCGTACGTAGCGTTCGATACGTTGTTTCTCTTCTTGACAGACGAAGCGCGATGGATGTTCCTTAGACAGGATCTCACGCGTCGCGCACGCGACCGCGTTAACAAACTCAATCAAACGAACAGAGCCCTGACGAATATACGTATGTACGTGTAGAACAGGAGTCGATCTTTCCGACGATATCGATCGGACGGACAGCCCGCGAAGCGCGCGCTCTTATGCTCCTAATTGGAGATACTCGGCAGCACACGCGAGAGGTTTCCGCGCGCGGCACCGAAGTATCGTGTTACGAAAGGTATATGCCAAGTGCACTTGTAAGGTATCCCCGGGGCTGGTCGCTCGCATAGCGAAACAGACTTCGGAGCGGAGAGCAAGGGACTCTGCTCGATGAAACCGCGAAGTCTCTCCACCTCGGGCTCTCGTTTCCAGAAAAACTCGTCCGTCTGTCTTTCCGACCTACGCGATGCATAGTAGGTATAGATACGAAGACGAAGAGTGTACAGGGGCTGGACGAAAGGACGAAGAAAGATGGAGAACTCTAGCGGAGAGAGCACACTCCCTCGATAGCAGGTATATAGCTGTCGAAGCTGTGACGAGAACCTTCGATTTTATCGATAGGACACGCCAAGCTTGTAACGTGTCGCGTTAATCGAACGATGTTGACGACCTTAACGAGTGAGCTTGTGGTTCGAGCTAGACTCCACTCTTTGTGTCTCTTCTGGACGATACGTGCTGTCGGCCATGAGAGTGTAGAGAAAGAGAGAAAGAGAGAGACGCAGCTCGCAGGGCGGGAGGGAGGAGGGATGATGGCTGGAGAGGGCGGTAGGGGTAAAGACTATATTGATCACTGACCTTTCCTGCGGCCGAATGGTCCGAAGAACGTGCCGTTCTTGCCGATGACGTTATCGTCGATGTACTTGAGCAGTTTCGTGGTATCCTCCCCTTTTTTAGCGGCGATCGACTTGACAGGACGCGGCGGCGCGAGCCTCTGGCTGCCGCTGATCAGCGTGCTCAGGCTGACGGTGTTTGCGATGGTCGTGGTGAACGTGGTGGCCGTGGTCGACGTCGAAGTCGACGCTACGGCGGCCGGTTGTGCCGCTAGACCGGCGCAGCTTGTGCTTCCACCGGTAGGGCACGTAGTTTCCTCCGCGAGGGAGTTGATCCTTCGCTGCGATCCACTCCAGCTCTTGCCACACGAGATTTTCACCGAGCAGCTCATTCTCTCATAGTAGTCGGGTACCTCTCAGTGTGCATAGTAAGGGAAACGACCAAGCGATGCACGCGGTAACGTACCCGATCGTTGCATCAACTCTCTATACGTCTGTTCTTTTTTTCTCTTCTTATATACCTCTGATGCACACCCAAGGGAAGTTTCAACACACCGACTGCACACAGAACGACGAAAATACTGAAAAACGCGTGTCTCTTCGACCAGAGTATGTGTATATATACGTGTGTGTGCGTATATGTATGTCCTTTCGATTAGAGCTTGTCACTTGTGTCGAACGGTAACAGCATCGTCCGAATGGGAAAATAAATCTTTGCCTCCTCTGTTCGCTTGCCCTTTTTCTTCGATTTCTCCTGCACTCCAGAGCACACGTGTTTATCACTGGAACGTTAATTAGAACACGGTACGTGGCGGGTGGAACGTAAGGGTTATCGTTGTCGTGTACCGATTCCGCGAACGTACAGATGAACGAACAAAAAAAGATGGAAAGAACCAAGTATAGCAAGGCGCGCGTATCGCGTGCTAATCGTCCGTTCAAACGATCGCCACGGGCGTAGATAGAACGTGTTTCACGACGATCTTCTTCCCTCTTCTTTTTATTACTCTCTCTTCGAATGTTTCTTCTATCCTCTTCTACTTGTTTCACACCTTTCGCTCGTTCTCTGAATGGCGAAGCTTCGATCGATCTCGTAGACCGATCTCTCTCCTCTCTCTGTACGGACGAACGGCAAGGTACAAAGTTGTGCACTCAGCCACCGCCGACGTTCCTTTCTTCCCGGAACGTCACGCGATCCCCCGTGACTGTCCCTAGTGTTTTGCGCGTTTACAATAGGTTAGCGCGACGAGCGTCTGATCAACTCGGGCTCTGACTACTTCCGTGATACTTGGGGTCGAGCTACGTGCGCACTATGGACACGTACAACCTCGTTCGATGCTGAGGCGAGACTGAATGTCTAGCGGACGAGCTGCCCGGTTCGCCAATGACGTCACATGGCCACGCAGGCGCCGTCGAGTCTCGCTTCGCTTCGGGGCATCTTCTCTCTGGGTCGGCTTGCGCGGGGTACCGCGAAAACCTGGACCGCGTTTTTCTGCGAATCCAACCGCGGATTCCTCTTAAATCGCGCGCACAAATTTCGCGATCCTCGCTTTTTCCTTCACGGCCATTTCTCTCGAAAAGCTCCGAGAGGTATCACGGATATCGCGACGAACCGGTGAATAGAGCAATTTTTTCTTTTTTTTTCGAAAAATTGCCAGCTTCGAGATTTCTCGAATAGAGACGTGTTGTACCCAAACTTTTTCACTCGCTGCAAAAGGACAACCGTTGGATGAAGAGGAATTTGTATCAATCAGCGAAAAAGAATTGCGAAGTAATTCTCCGTGGGGAGGAGGGATCGTTAAAAAATTCGCGTCACGGTGAATTTTTGAAATTTAATTTCTCGTGGAAAAGGTCCTCCGTTTGAATGACAAGCTTGCCAACTCGGGACAAATGTGTATAAATAGATATCTCGTGCTTGAAGAGAAGAGACTTATTTATGGAGCACGTTCACTTCAAACTCACTTCGTTACCGCGTCTACTCGAAATATGTAAATGTTGCGCGTTGATTTATATTCAGAGATCCGCGCGCTGGAAGAGAAAAAAAAAAAGGAAAGTAGGAAGATGTACTTTTTTTGCTTTTCTTCTGCAGCCTGTAACGATTACATAAATTGCTTCGACGTTTGCTTTTCCCGATCCTTTTAACGACGTCTGCTTTTTTCATTCTTATCCGATGTTTCTCTCTCGATAACAAGAAGAGGCAGATCGGAGAGAGAGGAAAAAAGAGCAGCAATTTAAACGAGCATCTCTTTCGTTCGTTCGGGTACAAGGATGAATTTGGTCGCAGATATCGACGGCTATTTTCTTCCGCGTCATAGGCGGACAGTTATTCGTGTAACCGCTTCTTTCCCGATCTGTACTCGCAATCAACGGCCATACGGCCCGATACGACGAATATAGGTCACTCGAAGACACGTGCGCGTTTCCCCATTAGGCAAGGAACAATTAGGATCGTTAGCCGTGAATTCAGCACGGCATTCGCGCTAATACATTCCGAGGAGAGAGACGCGACGCGGTGCAAAGAAAAAAAGTTCGAAATAACGACCAAGAGAAGATCGTTTCCTATTGTTCGAAAACTGTTCGCTCCTCTTCAAGCGTCATACGATGACGCACAAAAGAATACTAATCGTTCGATTGCTCGTGCAGAGATGTCTCGCGAGTCATCCTAGAATCGCCGCCAACTCGTTCCAGCGTAGGAATTAATTAGCAGGAAATAAGCCTATCTATCGTAAACGGCTATAAACGATACGCTTTTTTTCTTCTTCTCCCGCTTCGAACGATTACGCACCTTCGCGTAATTAAGGATCAGTGAAATCTCCGTTTCTGTGTGCACGGCGAAATGTTAGTAAATTATCGTTCGTACGGATCGATAGATTACTTCCGTAAAATCTACGCTCGCGTCCAACCGTGGAAGCCGCAAAGTGCCTCTTTACCTTTCGCGGCGATTCGTGCGAACTTCGCGATTCGCGCGAAACGTCTTGATCCTGGAATATTTGATAAATCGCGTCGCGTTCCCGCGGCTTCCACGTGCCTTCCGTAACATTCCCAAGCTGCATCGCACTTAGGACACATACGCGCATATATGTACGGCTGGTAACCTGCTCTCGTTACACCGTGTTCTCACTGTTGCGAGAGAAAAAAAAAAGCGAAGCGTCGGTCGGCGTGAGTCACGATGTCACGCGAAACGAACGGCCGCGCACAAAGAAATCAAAGAAGGCAACTAAATTCGCTTTATTCCGTTGGACTGTGTGTTATCGCGCTACCTCTGCAATCACGTTCCTGCTACAACCATACACACGATCGATACACACACGACCCTCTCTCTCTCTCTCTCTATCTGGCTATAGAAGGCGTGATAATAAGGGGTACGACGAAGTCACGAGTCATCTGTAATGATTTTCGCCGAATCAACAGATAGTGCAACACATGTTTACGCCTTCAGCTGGTGCTCTTCACGTGACTCTTTCATGCAAATGTCCTTAGCGGTGTGGAACAGTTAGCGGTCGAATGTATGTCAAATAGATGCTGTCATCCCTCTGAAACTCCGACACGTTTAATTTCGTTGAAACACTGCGCGGGAATAATTTCATCGATAGAAGAGTTCAGAGGTGCAAAGGAGAAAGAGAGTAAGAAGAATTTCATCCTGAATCGATAGAGAATGGCAATGGAATAGGTAAGAATTTTCTGTATACGAAAGACAGTGTTAGAATTTAACGATACACCGACACACACGTTCGTCGTCGCCCAAACGCTCCATGGTAACGAATTCCACGCGATTCTTGCGGCTTTCGTGGCTAAGCTCACACTCGGGTTCTGGTTACGCTCGTAGATCGAATTTGGCACGATGCTGAAGTTTCAAACCACGACCAAGGAGGACCTGAAACTGGCCGCGGCCATTCAGCGCAGGCGACAGATAGAAGCTGAACGGAAGCAACGGATATTCAATCCACGATTCAGGAAAATAGGGGTGAGTCCACCGGGGACATAGTGTTTCCGTTGCCCGCCATAACCTGTTGTAGATCGATCGTTCCCCTAAACACAAAAAGAACGATATCCCTCTCTCTTTCTCTCTCTTCCTTCGGATGATTTTTATCGGTGACGCCCGCAGATAGACAAGGAATTCTTGGACAAACAGGTCGCGGAAAAGAAAGAGCAACGTGAGCTGGAACAGGCCCGAGAATCCGAGCTCGACGAGAATTTGATCCGCAGCAGCAACATCGGCTTGCTGCTAGAGAAACAACAAGAAGAGGTAAACTGTCAATTACGCTGGGGGAAAAAAACACGCCACCGGATGATTAATCGTCTTTCGCAGTGTCATCGTTAAAGATTCCAACGCTCGACACATGTATATATGTATATACCAATATACACAAGTCCGTTGTTGCCTCGTTTCGCGGTCGTTTCTTGTCTCTTAGAATATTCGTTCTAGCCGGTGTAACTTGCGTTACACCTTCTCCGTTGATCTTTCTTTTCAGGAAAGACGAAGGATACACAGAGAGATTGAACATTTTCGACAAAACTACCAGCGGGTCGAGCAACGCGAGGATCGCGACACGAAGAACGGCGATGGCGGCGAACCTTTCGGAATGGGTTTCGGGCAGAGGTAAATATTGTCACTGTCAATTTCACCGGTGGGCGAGAACGTGAACCCTCTGCTGCTTGCTTTGGTCGGAAAATCTCGAGGGAAGAGAGAGGAACGATCTCAAATATTTGATCGTGCAACTATGCAGATTCGAGGGCGAAGACTGTAATGGAAAGGATCGCTCGAAGGCGAAAAAGGAAGAGATGAGGTGGTGGATCGAGAAACAGAGGAACGAGCGTGTACAGGCGGAGAGAGAAGAACAGGAAGCCGAGAAAGCGTACCAAGCAGCCGTCATCTCCAGGGACAAGCGTGCTGTGGCGTTAGATCAGATGGAACGGGACTGCCGTCGAAGGTTGAACGAAGCCACCGCGCGATTTAATCGAGCCCTGGTAAGGCTTTCTCCTATTTAGTCCTTCGTCTCGACGAAACAGCCGGGAACAAAGCGACAGGAACAGCAAGAAAAAGATAAGAATCTTATTATCTGACGATTCTATTTTCTACTCGTGAATACACAGACAGTGAGTGCGAGACAGAGAGAGAGAGAGAGAAATCGAATCTCTTCTTTTCACGTAAGATGGAAATCACGACTATTCTCTCTGTGCCAGTTGACGCTTGCGAACAACGAGAAACCGAGAATTCAGATAATTAACGTTCGATGGTTCTCCGTTGCTATTAATTGATTTAAACTAGTTCTTCCCCTTGTTACCTCCATTCCCGTTCTCGCAACACACCAGAGAACGACGCGAGCCGTGGAAATGTCAAAGTTCAACCGAGATCTCGTACAGTTCTCGATACGCCAGTTCCCAACCGCGGAACGAATTCCTCCCGGTGTCTTCTTCGCCGTGTGTCGCGATCTGTCGACGCTTCCTGACGTGTCACGCGAATCTTGCTCCGCACACACGGAATATAAACCTTCCTCGAAGGTGAGCACCGTTTAAAGCGTCGACGAGGTTGCTATGGTCGATGAGCAAACTCGGCGACGTCACCGTGTGGCAGACACCCGGCCACGGTAATAACACGGCGAGAGAAAGACTCTCTTTCCACATGTCCCTGTCCTTGACTTCTTTCCATCGTTCGGAGCTGTCACGCTCCGTTCGACGTGCGTTTTACTCTACCGCTGTGTTTTCCCCCTTTTTCGCGGACAGGCAGAGGAACAGGAGTACCGCCGTCACTGCGAAGCCCTACAAGAAGAGGAGGACAAGAAGGCGGATATCTACAATCACGTGACTGGGGACTTCCTTATGGAAGCCAAAGAGCAGGCGGAGAGCACTCGTGGACCGTCGAAACCGTTGGCCTCGCGGTACAAGGGCATGAATCCGGACGAGCTTAGAGCTTTCAGGGAGGCGCAAGCGAACCAGCTGATAGAAATTCAGGTAAAGTCGGGGGAGGGAGGGAGGGGAGAGAGAAAACGCGGTTGTTTTACGCGGTTTCGACGATGCGCCGCGGAAAGGTTGAAACGGTGCCAACCGATGGTCGTGTGGCCGTGAGAGAGCACGGCCAGGAGGATAAAGAAATTTTGGCGAGCTCAAGGAAAGCTTCTTTTTCAAGAAAACGAAATCGGAGGAGAAACAGAGGAAGGAGGAGTGGGATCGGTTAACGAACACCCAGGCGGAGATAGCTGGAATGTACCAGCGTGAGGAAAGTCGGAAACGAGTGTAAGAATTATGATGTTTGCTGTTGGTGTGGATTTAACCCCTTAACGCTCACAGTTTTCTTAACTTGATGTGCCAAAAATGATCAATTTTATTTTTTTTTTTTTTTTATTTTCTAGGTGTATAGAAATAAGTTTCCAATTTATTAACACGTTGACTGCCACGCCAGATTTGCATGTTTTGCTTTGAGAGCCAGAAGAAAATTTTCATTATTCTAAGTATAGTATTATGCTTATTATACTTTACTTTTTCGTTTCTTTTTAATTCAAAATAATGACGATATTCGTTTTATTCTAAACATTTGAGGCACTCTGGTCACATGTGACCAACGTGGCAGTCAATGCTATGACTTACATTTTTGCAATGGAATAGAGTGAAAGAGTGAAAGAAAATAATTAAACAAAATTGCACTTTTACGAGGATTAGTTGTGCACGTGTAAGGCTTGAGCGTTAAGGGGTTAGAGAAAAATTGGGGAACGAACGAGTTATTTGTGTTGCAGAGAGATGAAGAAGAAGGTAGCAGAGGAGAATTTGAAGCTGGCGCAGCAGCACAAGTCCCATCAGGATTATCTGAATCGTGTTCTTTATGTCAACAAACCGAGTGCTGAATTTTTCGAACAATTCAACAGAGATGCTCGTTAAAATGATATGTTTTTGCCTGATATACCGATAGGAATAAAGTACCTTTTCTATATTGATATGTATATCTGAAGAATGTTGTGAAATGAATAATTCTTTCTCGGACATTATGCGTATTCTCATATTGATTATTTGAAAAGCACGTTTGTTGGTAACTGATAAATTTTTCCGCCTTATGAATCATCCTCGGTCGGTATTATATCATCTGTTTACGTCGTGTTTTACATTTCACGGCGAAGAAAATTTTATAGGCATCGTTTGAATTTTAGGTATTTTCAACGTACCATTTCTCGTTGCAGTGCTTTAAATACACAACAAGATACTAAAATTTTATATGTTTTTATTGACCTTCCTGTTAAATGCGTGTGTTTATGCGCTATCGGTAAAAAGAGCCATTGTTGATGTTTACGCGTTTGGCTTGAACGATGTTGCTTGAAATGTATCGGAGAATATTACAAATATAAATTAAACGTGTGATATATTTCCCACAATGTTTCTCAGCGCGACGTAATATTGCGAAATATAAATTATTTTAGTGATAAAATGCTCGATACAGAGGAAGATGATGCTCGGAAACAAAGGTTAGCTGTGAGGTTATATATCTCTTCGTATTCTTTGTTTTATGTTCGTTAAATTATATTCAATAAATGTCGTTTTTTTACCAGCAACCAGGGAGACGCGATATTCGCGGAACAAAAAGGAATTGTGGAGGATCTTAAGCGGGATTTGCACTTATGCAAGGTACATTTGTTACATAAAATTAATTTTAGATCGAATACATTTCCATATACTTGTTTACATCTAGGTAGAGCAACATAATATACGAGCTGAACTAGAAATTCTACGAAATGAAAGTCAAAAAGTTAACGATATAAGAGAATCCTTTAATCGTATTCATTTAGAAGAATGTGGTAACCAAGATGCACATAAGCAGGAAGTGATAAATTTACAAGAGCGTGTCAGACTTTTAGAAGCAGAGAAAGAGTCAGTTTCACAGTTATGGCATATTTCATTGAACACTATAAGTGCCTTGGAGAATGAATTGAAAGGGTTTCGTGTAGATGGAAAAGGGACAAAGTTTTATCAAGAACAGGCGAATAATATTAAAGAAACTTATTCAGAAGCTATTAAAATGTTAGAAGAAAAGCTTTCACAGGCCAAAGAAAATTTTGTGAAGCACCAAACACTGTACCTTACTAGTAAAGAAAGAACTGATAGTTTATCTAAGGAAAAGGATGAATTGTTGGACAAATTTACAAATCTTCAAAAAGATGCTCAGGACAAAGGTCAGTAACATATTTTTATAATCTGTTACAACCAATGGAGACATTGTTTTTATGTTTTAAAAGACAGGAATAACCAGGTGACAATAGAAACATTGAAGAAGGAATTGGCTTATGCTAAAACAGAGACCAATAAAGTAGTACAGTCTAAATTAGAATTGGAAAGAAAATTAAACGAAGTTAAAAGATATGCTGAAAATGTTGTTGAAAGAGATAGGGAAACAAAAAACAAAATGGCAGAAGCCATTGAATTGATAGAATCTGCAGTTAGGGAAAAAGATTTGGTACTTCATCGTGAAGGTCTTATATTGGAGGAAAAATCCAGGTTAGAACATAGATTAAATATCATAGCAAGTGAATATGATGCAAAAATACAAGAATTGAATAAAAAAACTAGCGATGAAATTGAGTTAAGTACAAAGAAATATCTAGTAGAGATCAAAGAACTTAAAGCAGAATTAAGGGAAAAGACAATGGCAGCAGAAAAAACTCAAATAGAATTGAAGTTTACCAAAGAAGAATTAGGTAAGATACGTAGGGATTCAAGTACAAAGATATTGGAGTATGAGGAAAAAGCTAAACGTATGGAATTTCAATTACAAGTATACGATGAAGCAATAGCTAAAAACAGATATGATGTGGAAATTAAGCAGTTGAAAGAGAAAATTGTTACTCTTGAAGGTAAACTAGGTATTTCCAATGATAAATTATACAAGTTAGAGGAGCAGCAGACCAGTAATATACAAGATCAGGTGAAAAGAGCCGATCGTGAAAATAAAGACTTAATGAAACAATATTCAGATCTAGAGAATAAATTAGCCAAAACATTAGGTGATAAGGAAAGTCTTGTATTACAATTAAAATCATTGAAACACGATTTTGAGTATGAAATACAGAAAAGGGAAAATGAAAGACATTCCCTCGAAAATAAAATTCGGGAATTAGAAGTTAATCTTCATAAAGCAACATGCTCAAGGGAAAATAGATTGAGAGATGGAGTTACTGATGATATAAATCCTTTTCCGTATGATGTAAAAAATAAACCCAGCTTGGATATAACGTAAGTAAATACAAATGTTCAATAATTCAAGTGATACTGTATATAATATGGTTATTACAGGGTAGAAAATAAATGTCACTGCTGTCAATCAGTATTATCAGATCATATGAATAAACTGCAGGAAAAGTTTGACAGGAAAACAAAGGAGTTGATCAATCATGTTCAAGTTCATCAAAAACTAAGTAAAAAGTATGAAGATTTTATATAACCGTGAATAAGGAATTGTCAGTAAGTTTATACTACTTTGTATTTCAGATGGAGAGATGAAGCAAAAACTTTGACAGTTAAATTTCAAGGGAAAAGTAAGGAACTAAAGAACAAAATAAGTGCATTGCAACAAGAAAATAATGAATTAAATAAAGAATTATTAACTTGCAAACAACAACTGGCATATAATACAATGGAAGATATACAAAGGTACGTGTTTATTGAATCCCTACAGTGACAATATACTTTACTATCTACAAACGATTTTTTTTTAGATTTAACGAAGCAAGTGAAATTAGGTGACAATACTTTTTTCCACCTATAAAAGTTTTATAATAGATACTTGACTGTGTAAATATTAGAAGAGTATGTAAATTTATTCACATTAAAAATACATTTTATACTACAGACATATCTTTTATTTTTAATCATTGCCTATCTATTTATAGTAAATTAAATATTGTGCTTACTCTTTCGACACAATGCAGGCTGTAAATAAACTAGGATACCAATATAATTTTTCATTTTCACCTTGTTCATCTAACCATGCCAGTCCCTCTTTTACCATATGATCCAAAGATTTCTGTGCACGACTTGCTTCCCACTTTAATTCCTTGCAAAGCATGGATATTGAAACATACGCATTTCCAGATAAACTAGCTTGCTGTAATACAGCTGTATGATCCATACTTAGTTCCCCAGGAACAGATTGCACCAAGTATTTACCTCTACCAACTGGGACAATGGAAAATCCATTTCCAAAAATTTTTAATTTCTTAGCAGCAGCTAATAAGTCCTCATTTGTGATCTCTTGATGCTCTTTTCTACGACCTCTAGCTTGAATTAACCTTGTCCTAAGTTCATCCAACGATATCAATCCACCATTTTTGTAATTTGTGGCCATACAAACTTCGACAATTTGTACAGCAAGTTCATAATAAAAGTCTCCTATGCCAAGAACTGACCAAAATCCTTTTCCAGAGGCTAGTGGGTCTACACCTATCGATGCACACATTTCCGTGAATTGTCGCCGAAAACGTGCATTCTTTTTTATTTCAGTTTTATGTTTCGTAGCAAAATCTTCTAGATTAATACGAAAAGTTTCCATTTGTTTTGACATTTGCTCAAACTGATTTTCTTGAATCTCGGTTCCCTTATCTCTGTATTTTTCTTGCTCCAGCTTTTGTTTGTGTATTGCACCAACGCCTGCTTTTCGCCTCATCGTGTAATATACTTTATTCCGTATTGCAGATTCTAAATGTACAATTGAAAACCTTCACCGATACAAAATCAAAACACCCTTATTCGACTTTCAAACGATCGGGGTAACTGTCACGTTTCTTCGTGTGTTGTTCCCCGTTTGATAATATAACCTAATATCGACACATACGCACAATAATAAATTTTTTTTGCAATATGTATTCTGATTCTTCAACACACTTTCAACATAAAATCAAAATATCAACTCTGATACTGTAGAACAACCCATATCACGCACGAATTATTTAATAATCAAGGAAATCTGTATTTTACGTGTCAGTCATTCATCGTACTTTGAATCTCTCACACAAGGTGTCAGTTGGCTTCAGACATCAAAATTTAAGCATGGCGTCGGCAATGGAAATTGATGACGAAGAAAACGATTTACCAACTTCGAGTAGTAGTAAAGGGGAGAAGAAACGTTTTGAAGTAAAAAAGGTAAGGTGAAGACGTAGAAAAGTATTTTACAAAATGTACACAAATTCCTGTTATTTTAACCAGTTGATCCGTAAACTCTAACCTCTGTTTTGCATTGTCATTTGTACTATACTCACATGGTTTATTCACACAGTGTAGTAAGAAATGTGAAACTTTTTATTTCAGTGGAATGCTGTGGCCCTTTGGGCATGGGGTATGTATTCAAAAGCTTCGTTACATGCATAATTTTTCATGAAATGTAATACAGTTAATTGATACTTGCAAATTTTATCATTAACTATAGAATTTGTTTTCTTACAGATATTGTAGTAGATAATTGCGCGATCTGCCGTAATCATATTATGGATTTGTGCATTGAATGTCAAGCAAATCAAGCATCAGCCACTAGCGAAGAATGTACCGTAGCTTGGGGTGTATGCAATGTATGCTGCCTATTATTATAGCTTTTTGTTACGATACACATTTAATATCAATTGCAAAAGTAAAATGTTTTAACTTTTTATTTTAATTTTTTGACATTTTTTTCGCATAGCATGCATTCCATTTCCATTGCATCTCACGTTGGTTGAAGACTCGACAAGTTTGTCCACTTGACAATCGAGAGTGGGAGTTCCAGAAGTGAGTACAGCCTGCAACATACAACAAAACGCTACTGGCTTCTTAAAGCTTTTGAAAATTTTTTGTGTGTGGTATAGAGGAAGCACAAAAGATTTTCATAGATACAACGTATATATTCCCTCTGTATATATTGACTTGTAAATAAAATTTTTTCTTATCTGTTTTAGATACGGTCATTAGCAGAGTGTCTCCAGCTGCCACAGACATCAGAACCCTCCAGAATGCCAAAGCCGACGCAGGTTTAATTACTGTGTGAACAAAAGACAAGTAAACAATTTGTTGTTACATCAATCTAGAAAAATCGGTGGCATCTCTCAGAGCGTCCGTAGCAGTTCTTCGAACGTGATAAAGAAATTAAAAATCTGCTTGAAACACAATGTGATTAGGATGCTATTGCACAAGCATTATCAAGTTTTTACTGCTGCACGTATTAAGTTGGAACAGCAGGTACTAAACGTTATCGAAAGTTTCTTATTCTGTCGGTTATGCATTATATGACAATGTAATCTCTTAGTCATAAGGACTCAAATAAATAAAAATCCTAAAACACGTATCAATTTTTCATCGAGCTCGTTCGTTATTATGATACCCTTCCATTAAAAATAATAATTACACAACATGTTGCGCATCTTTATTTTTACGACGTCATCTGCTGTTAAAAAGAAGGACAGAGAGAGTGTCTTACGTCGATGCATTTTTCCGGGACATTTTTCTTTTTTTTCTAACCGAATCTCCCAATGATCCGCTTATCTGATTTTAAGAAATACCGTCTGGTAAAAGTTTTGTCCCTCCGGTCTCTGTGAACGGCGTACCCACGTAATCCACTCTTTCGATCAGCAATTTTTATACTTTAAATAGATATCGGTTTTATTGAGACACGTAATGCAAGGTTGAGTAACGGTTTCTACGTTTCTAAATAAAATATTATCCCTTCTCATTGACTGTTTCAAAACCTAAACCGTACACGTGTCTGCATTAAACGTACACGCGACATTATATAGTATATATAGACGTGTACTACCACGGTTATCGATATTGGTTTCTTAAGATCTAGGTCTTTGGGAAGGCCGTGGAAGTGTATTTTTTTCTCTCTCCTCCCGAGGCGTTAAGCAAAATCAATCTCGCTGAAGTAGCAACGACAGGTATCGTAATAATAGCCTTTACGTTCGAACAGG